CCCGAAAGCGAGCTCGGTGCAGGCGAGATCGGATATGGCGGCGTCGAAGCGCTCCAGTGAGTTGCGCAGATACGCTGAGGCCCGCTCACCATCGAAATCGCAGTAGCCTCCCGTGACGATCCAAAAGACCAAGACTTCCAGCATAGAAAGCCGGTAATCGGACAGGCACTCTTCGAAACTGGGTAGCCGCTTACCGCCGTTGCTCACGAGGGTAGAGTGGTACGCGCGCAGCAGACCCATCTCCCCTTGCCTTCGTTGCTGCGGGGGGAATGCCTCAGTGATGAACTGCGGCAACATCGCAGACCCCCTTGCCGCGCGCGCAGAACTCCCAGTCGAAAACGACCAGCGGTCGCGCCGTGGCATTCGCAGGGAAGAAGCAATTGTCGAGGCGGTAATCTCCATGAATAATCGTTCGGGGAGGTTCCGTGAGTTTGGCCTTTATCCTTGGAATCTCAATGATCAGGCGGTCTCCCAGCAGCCGCAGACCTCGGGGCATTGCGTCCCGGAGCCTTCTTTATGAGGGACTCCCAGGCACCGGCGTATATCTCCTGGTAGACGCCGGTCTCGTCGTCCTTCAACGGCATCCACTCCAACCGGTCCAGCCGCGGGCTGTCCCACCATGAGGCCTGGAATTCAGCCAGTTGCACGATTGAACGCCGGGCTTCGGCCAAGGAACATCCGGCCACGCTGTCGCCCTGGCGGGCGGCGTTCACGTCCTCCAGCAGCAGAATGGTGTTCCCGGTCTCTGGGTCCAGTCCACAGTAGTAGCTGTGAGGGGTTTGAAGGGGACCGCTGGCCGCCACTTCCTGATAAAACCTGACCTCGCGCCGGTCCTGTCCCAGCCTGTCTGAGACCATCCTCAATGCAGGGTCTGCCGAGGGGAGCTTGACTATGATGGTACGCGGCAGGTCCAGGGGGTCATCGTCGTAGTGGAGCCTCAGGCGAAACACCTGGTTCAGAAACCCCTTCCCCTCGGCAATGGGCTCAGCAGAGTATCCGGTAACGGAAGCGCTGCCGGAGGCATCCTTGCTATGAAGCGCCCCGGTCAACCAGGAGGGGGTAATCTCCATGAGGTTTTTAGGAACCGTCGAACCGGTCATACCCGTCCCAATGGATACGCATCCGGTCCTGAAACAGCGGGCCTTCCCATTCAGCCGGCCTTGCGCGCGAACAGGACGCAGTGTTCCATTGGCTTGGGGTCGGTAAAGTACATGACTCCCCCCAGCTTCTCTCCCTCCGCCGGAATCACGCTCAAGCCGTGGTTTGCCAGTACCCCCAGCACCTCACTTTCGCTGTAGAGCTGGAATGTCCTGTCCGCGCCGTAGTCCCTGTCGTAGACCGTTGCGATTCCCGTTCCGACCTTGAACATGAGCTGGAGCACGCCCCCGGCCCTGAGCAATCTGGCCAGCTCCGGCAGGGTTACCCCCAGGACTGTGTCCGGGGCGATGTGCTGGATGACCGCATTGCATAGAACGAAGTCGAAGGAGGCGTCCGGATGGCCAAGGGGCTTGCGGAGGTCAGCGACGGACACCCGCTGAGCGATCTCCGGATGAAGCCTGCGTGCCTCCTCAACATTCTCATCTATGGAGTCAACCCCATAGACGTCGTAACCCTTCTGCCAGTAGAAGAAGACGTCGCGGGCGCCTGCCCCGCAGCCGGCATCCAGCCCCCGGTAGCCGGCGGGGAACAGCTCCTGGAGCCGGTCCATCAGGTCCGTATCGCCCTTGAGCCCCGGGTGTGAGGCCTTGAGATATATGGACTGAACGAAGCCGTGGCTCACCTCGGCATAGCGCTGCGCGTGACTCCTGTAGAAGCCCTCGGAAAAATCTGGGTTTTGACTCATCACTGAAACGTCCCTGTATAGACTGTGATCTTGGAGAACCCTGATGTGAGCATGGGTATGTGCAGCCGCAGAATATAAAGCAGCCCGGATTATCACCTCCGCTGCAATGCGGCCCCGGTGTCCGGCAAAGCCTTCGCGACCGCCGGGACGACGGTGTCCGGGTGCCCCTGTTTTTCGCACCCGCCGGGGGCAATTTTCAGCGGATCTAGAAACGCAGTTCCAACCGGGGTTGCAGTAAACGCTCCGGCACCTTGGTTTCACGCATGAACTGCACCAGCAGCCGGTGTAGTTCCCTGGCCTCGCCGGTGTGCGCTCCCATCACGTTCTTAACCTGGTTCGGATCGGCATTCAGATTGTACAACTCCGACAGACCACCCTGGGGGCTGTAGAGCAAGCTCCATTCTGCCGCAGTTACAGTGGTGACCGGAGGATCTGTGAGGGTACGGAGCAGGCTGTCCACGGATTGGACCGGGTCGCCGGGGATTGGCGAAGGGTATGCTGCTGATCACGTACTCCCGCCCCGGCAGGGAGTTGTCCCGCATCCCGGGTGCCAGAGACCTGCCCTGGACGAAGGCCGGGATCTCCAGCCCCAGCAGGTCAAGCACGGTCGGCATGACATCCACCGCTGAACTCAGGCCTTTAAATACCCCCGGCGCCACTCCGGGCGCCTGAATCAGAAGCGGGAGGTGGATCAGTTCCTCGAAGAGCGGAGAGTAGGTCCACTTCGATCCCGGATCGCCGTAGGGCCGGAGGCTTCCATCCGGGAGCTTGTCCGAGTTCATCTTGCCGAAGAGGCCGCCGTGCTCCCCGAAGTGGAAACCGTGGTCTGTGGTGAAGATGATGGCGGTCTTCTCCATCAGGCCCATGTTCTCGACGGATTTCATCAGGAAACCCAGCCACGTGTCGACCATGGTGATCTCGCCGCAGTAGGTCGCATGACTCTTCCGGAGCCTCTCTTCAGTGTAGCCCGGGACGTCGTGCCAGTTCCCGTACACCGGCAGCACCACCTCGCCGTCGTATCCGGCCAGTAGAGCTCGGTGTAGTAGGCCGGAGCGTCCCAGGGTTCATGGGGGTCCCAGGTGTCGATGTATAGGAAAAAGTCCTCTTTGTAGTGATGTTCCAGCCACTCAATGGCGGTCCTGAAGGTTCGAGGGGCATTGCGGTCCCCTTCGCTTTTGCCACGCCGCCCGGAAATCCAGGGCCTCGTTGTGATAGCCGGGCTGGGGAATCAGCGACCACATGGTATCCTGGCCCGGGTTCATGAAGAATGACTGGAACCCCCGGTCGTAGTTCATCCCGTTCCTCAGGTAGTAGGGGGTGTCCACCGATGCCGCCGTGTGCAGGCCGTGCTCAGCCAGCATCTCCGCCAAGGTGGTCACTCCTGCAGGCAGAAGCTCCCATCCCATGAATGACATCGTCCATCGGCCGGTGAGGTGGTCCGCGCGGGTGGGCATGGTCGGGAATCCGGCGGCATAGTGCCCGTCGAACCGGACCGACCTGGCCGCCAGCGCATCCAGGGAAGGCGTTCGAATCGTCGGATTGCCGTATGCGCCCATGTGGTCCCTGCGAAAGGTGTCGGCAACTATCCAGATGACATTCATCTTCGCTGCTCCCATACCTGCTCGCGGCGGATAGACTGCTGGTTGATCCGCCATCCTGGCTCTCAGTTCGTTGCATAAGACTCGTGCGGCCTTTGGGCCAAATTGCGCAGGCACGTGGCCGATGTGGCTGAAATCCCCAACGCCTCTGCGGGGAGGGGGATTGGACGTTCGGTTACGTGTGATTGGGCCTGTTGCCTCATTGAGAAATGTTTCCGAAACTTTAGCACCTGTGGGTCCCGCCCCACGCCTGCAGCAGGTGAACGTCCCGGGCTCCCGCTCCGCAACCTGCGTCCAGACCACCATTCTCCCGCGCCAGCTCGACAACTCGATTGAGCAGGTCCATGTCCCCTGTCAATGCAGGGTGAGAGGAACCGGTATACACCGAGTGGGTGAACTCGTGGGAAAGCTGGGAATATCTCCGGGCGTGTTCACTTTAGAAGTCCAGTGAGTCGAATTGCATATGGACACCCTTGAAGACGTCGGATTACGTTACCATTAGAAATACTCTTAATATGGATTTGCAATGTATTTCAGGCTCCATATTTTGTACACTAAGCTATTATCCTTTAATAATATAGAATAAATGTCCGTGTCGCTTGATTGCGTTTGGGGATGGTTGAGATGGAGAAATGAATTCCGCAGAGAGTGGTTTACATCAACTTTTCAAGGCTCAAGCGACGGCGACTCCAAACACTCCGGCAATAGCCTTCGGCGCCGAACAGACATCCTATGCACAACTGGACCAGGCGACGGATGCCTTGGGAGCCTACCTTCGACGTTGCGGCGTATTAACCGATGATCCGGTGGGCATATACATGGAAACCTGCCCGGAGTACATCGCCGCGACCATCGGAACATTGAAGGCCGGCGCGGCCTTCATGCCCGTGGCCCTGGATCTCCCCGATTCCCTTCTTGGCGCATTGGTGTCCGAGTCCCAACCCAAGGTGGTGATTACCAAGGCGAGGCACCTGCCGAGGCTGAGTAGATTCACTGGGCCTCGTCTATTGGCCGTTGACTCCGACCAGTCCTGGAGAGAGTTCGATCCGCCAAGCGACGAAATTCGCGTTGACACCGGCAATCTGGCCTTCATCCCCTACACCTCAGGCACAACAGGACAGCCAAAAGGGGTGATGCAGACCAGCGGCGCCCTGATTTCATCCTACTTGGCCAGGTACAGGTTCAGTTCTTACAATGTCGGGGACAGGGTCGCCTGCAACATCTTCTTTCCCTGGGAGTTCCTCCGTCCGCTGTTGAAGGGAGGAACGGTATACGTTATCCCCGATGATGCGGTGTTCGTGCCTCGCGCGCTAACCGGGTTCATAGCGAAACACCAGATTACCGAGGTGCTCTTCACTCCGTCCCTGCTGCAGGGGATCTTGAATTCGGCAAGCCCGGAACGATTGCGCGCCCGCCTGTCCTCACTGCGAGTGGTATGGCTGAACGGCGAGGTGGTGCCAACCAGCCTGCTGAAGCTGGTCCTGGACGTTCTGCCCAAGTCTACGCGGGTGTTCAACACCTACAGCATCAGTGAAGCCCACGACGTTTGCTCCATTGAACTGACGGACTTGAGCCTGGGCGGCAGGGATGCCTGCCCCGTGGGTTACGCAATGGACGGGGTGACACTCCGAGTGCTCCCGGAAGGGCAGTCCGATCTGGCTTCCAGCGGGGTCGGGAGAGCTCTTGATTGGCGGTCGCGGACTGGCCCGCGGCTATCTGAAGAGGCCCGACCTGGATTCCGAGAGGTTCGTCAGATGGGACGGCGAGAGGTATTACTCCACCGGCGACCTAGCCGAGGTTGATGCGCGGGGTATGACGACGATCATCGGCCGAAATGATTCGATGGTCAAGATCAGGGGCTACACCGTTTACCTGAGCGCCATAGAGGAGACCCTCCGCAAGCACTGTGACGCGGCGGATGCAGCGGTGCTGGCCGAGAACGAGGACGAAGTCAACAAGCGGCTCGTGGCCTACGTGGTTCGGGGCCCGCGAGCGGCGTGGAAGGTCGATGGGAGGAGCGGGACGAGCAGAGACCTGCGTGCTCAACTGGAACGGCATCTGCCGCTCTACATGGTGCCCAGCCACTTCATGGAACTGGAGACGCTCCCGATAAATCAACAGACGGGCAAACTGGAGCGCAAAGCATTGCCCTCATTGCGAGAAAGGAGGCCTGCGGTTAAGCAGCGCACCCCGCTGTCCAAGCACGCAACCGCAGCCGAGCGTCGCAGGGTCTTGCGGGAGCTATGGAGCGAAGCCCTGGATGTCGACACTGAATCACTGGAAGATGATTGGAACTTCTTTGATCTCGGCGGCCACTCCCTGACGGGCCTGGGCCTCACTCTAGGGATCGAACAGCAGTTTGGGATTGAACTCAGGGGCACGGAGATTTACGAGTACCCCACAATAAGTGAGCTGGGCGCGTACTTGGAAAAAAGAGGGCCGAATATGGAATCTGGGATTTCGCTGGCCGAGGACTCGATTCTGGATCCGGAGATTGCACCAGGAGGCGCCCCGAGAATTACGCGTATCAGCGAGGCCTCCTCGGTCCTTGTGACGGGAACAACCGGATTCCTTGGAGCCTTCTTGCTCGACGAACTGGTGCGTGCCGCTGGACAGGATACCCGGTTCTACTGCCTGGTAAGGGACAGGGACTCAGGACAGGGCGAGTCCACCAACCGCGTGCTGGACACTCTGAGGTTTTACGGGCTGGCCGGTCATTCCGCGGGAGAACGGATTGTCCCGGTGGCTGGAGACCTCACCCAGCCCAGGATGGGACTGGACAATGACGATTACCGGCGGCTGGCGAAAGAGATCGGCCTGATTTTCCATTGCGCCGCATCGGTCAACTACGCCTACCCTTATTCTGCGGCCAAGCCCCACACCGTCGGAGGGACATTGGAGGTGCTCAAGTTCGCCTGCACCGATGTAACCAAACCGATTCAGTTCATTTCATCCAACGGCATCTTCCCGGGAGGAGACGACTTCCCCTACTTGGAGAACAACGCCATCGACGGCTTTGTCGACAGGATGGAGGGGGGCTACAATCAGGCCAAATGGGTTGCGGAGCGGCTTGTCTGGTCGGCTGTTTCCCGAGGACTGCCGGTATGCGTTTTCCGCCCGGGCAATATTGGCCACCACAGTGGTACCGGTACGGCCAACCCGAATGACTTCCTGTCGTTGATAATCAAGGCCTGCGCACGTCTGGGGTGTGCCCCGTTGGCGCCGAACTGGTTCTTCGAAATGACCCCTGTCGACTTTCTGGTCAAAGCTATAACAAAAATGTCCGACGATCCCAGCCACCTGGGGAAGGTATACAACGTGGTTCAACAGGCCCCCGTACCCGCCGATCAAGTTTTTGCATATATGGAGAACCACGGATACGTGGGGGACCGCGCTCAATTGGGGGACTGGAAATCAAGATTGGGAATGATGGCCGACCGGGATGATGACATGGAGTTGAAAGTTCTGATCCGGTCCCTGGAATCAGTCGAGCCGTACCTGTCCGACACCAGCGTCTACGACATCAGCCGGTTCTCCGAAGCATTGTCGGAAATCGGTCTGGAAATGCCAGCAGTCGACGTTGACTATGTGACCAGATTCCTACGGAAGTGACCGTCAAATTGAGTCTGCGGCCCCTTCGGCTTTGCGGACCGGCCCCCTTTGTCCCGCGTCAACTATATTTGCCGGTCCTGTTGCCTCACCAGAGAATGTTACCGAAATTATAGTCCTTATTTCACACCCCAACCAAGATTAATTCCACCTTCTCGCTCCGTTGCGATGCAGGTCCGCCACCATCGACTACGCCGGCTGGTCTGGCGTGCCCGCTGTGTCTGTTGTGGCCGAATCTAGGGCGGGCCTAACCCCAGGGTCGACAGTAACGCCCTGGGTACCGAATAGCTCCCAAGGTCTGAAGGACTCCACGAAATCCTTGGCTTCTTCGATAGATGGGAACCCCTTCCGGGAGCGGCTCGGGTCGTAGCTAAAAGTCTTCGCCGACGCGTCGATGCCCCGTTTGGTGTCTCGGAACCCTCCAAGCTCCTCTTCATGGCCGTCGTTTTCGTCACTGAGAATCAGGTTCTCTCCCCTTTTTACCTTTCGCCAATACACTCTCATGCAAAGCACTCCTCGACTCCGGTTTCTAGCTTGACGGTTTTGGGACCTTGATAGTCTCTACTTCTAAAATTTGCTCGCTTGGTCTCGGAGAGGTGTGTTCTCTCTCCAAGTATGGCAACTCCTCGGCGATGGTCAAGTCTTAGAGGTGTGTGTGTGACAAAGTGTAATCAGGTTGACTTGAGCCTTTTGAGACATCAGGTGGACCATCGCTATATGAACCCAGGTCTCACGTTTCTGGCAGTTCCTCATGAGCCTTGCTGAGCCGTCGGCACCGGCTGAAGCCAAGGCAGCTGTGCGTTAACCACCCATCTGCGAGGCAGCACCTCGAATGGTGGCTGTCGGTCTCCGGCGCACCACCTTCAGCAGCCATCCTCCATTCTCCCAAGCCACGCCACCAGCGAACCGGCTATAGGCGCATCGGCCCAGATGACCTGAAGCATGGGAACGACCAACGCAGCTTGGCCAGCACCATCAGTCCGCGCCCGTCCCGGTCTTGGATGTTGGCGGCGTGAATCACCACGCCAAGAGCAGCCGGTGGTGTCCACTACGACTCGTGGCGCTTGCGCCCGACACCTTTTTGCCGGCGTCGTAGCCGCGAGGCCCCCTTTTTCGTTGTCTTCACCGATTGGCTGTCGATGATTGCCCCGCTGGGAGTAGCATCCCATCCCTCGCTCTCCCGGACCATGGGACGCAGTGCCTCCCAAACCGCTCCCAAGCGCCCGTCCCTGCGCATTTCGGAAAGTACCACCAGACCGTGCCCAAGGGGCAGGTCGTGGGGATTCATTCGCCAGACATACCGCCAGCAACACGTACAGGATGCCGTTCACCACCTCCGCAGGCGCACGGTTCGGGGATGTCCCTGGGCGAAGCTGTGGGTAACAGGGTCCAGCAAAGCCCCATGGGCATCGGTCAAATCGTGGGATACGCTCTTCGATCCATACCCCAAAGTTACAGACTACCCGCAAACCACACCAAGCTGTTCCATGCAAGTTTCGACATTGTCACACACCCTCTAAGGCAGGGAGCGGTCTGATGAAGCTGGATTTGTTATCGCTGGAAAACGCCGTGACGCAATTGGAAGAAGGGCTGGTTCTGTACGACTCCGACATCGTGCGGCAATTCCCGATAATTCGGAACCAGATGTGAGAGCGGGACGCTATCCCGCATTCGAATTCACCTACGAACTCAGCGTTCAGATTATTTAGCGGTACTTGGAGAGGTCTCGCCAATCCGCGTAGGTTGACGCGACTCGACCTTCGGAACCTGATCGAAGACGGGCAAAGGACACAGGGCTTGTGCACTCCGAGCTGGACCCTGCGAGTATCGAGCTATGCCATATCGTTGTGGTATCACCAGCCATACTTAATCAACGAAGGGAGCGCGAAGGTCTATATTCACACGGCCACTCCCGGTGGTTCTTGGCAGAGCCAGCATCTCTCGAAGGGAGTTGCAGAACAACATGAACTCCGGACTAGTAGTCCTCGGTGTGAATAAGGGATAGACGGGACTGAGCTGATGGCGCGCGTCCCTGGGTGTGATCCACCTCATTTCGTGTCCAGTGGTTTCCCGAATGCGTCGTGTTCCGCTGCCCTTGCAAGCTTGGATTCCTGCTTCACATCTCTGTGGTCCGGTATCCGCGGTCAGCACTGGCTCACGCTCGTCACAGACATCTCCCACGGTCTGAGGTCTCGGCCTCACTCGTGTCACACTCGCTACACACACACAACTGCCGTGCGAGCCTTTCTCGCTGTGCGATGGTTACAGTTTACCCAGCTGTTCTGCAATGCGCTGACCCTCGCTCTGCAGGCTCGAATGCCTCGTACAGGGACGAGAGGCGGTGGGTGTCAGATTGTCCATCACCAGACTATCCGAGCCTTTGTCGGGTAGTCCAATCCACAGTGTCGCACCCCGGGACCACCGTCGCCTGGTCGCTGGTCCGTCACCTCACCCGCGCTCACCACCTCCAAGGGCGCGACAGCATAAACAGGTGACTCACCCGTGCGCTCGTATTCGTAATCGTAGGCCATGCAGTCGGACGCTGGCGCCAACAAGGGGGTGCGGGTCTCCCTCACCTGTGCTTGCTGGTCTCGTCCAGGCAACACAGCACCTCGTTGTCTCGAACTGACGGTGATACACCTCCAGCACGTCCTACATGGCACAGACGAAAACTCGGCATTGCCTGGGCGGGATGCACCAGCACTCCTTCAGCCAGGCTTGAGTTCGTCAGCGTTTTGGCGCACGTTCGGGGCTGATGCTGTCCACTATCTCACCTCTGCACACCAGCGGTCATGCCAGCAGTTGCAGCGTCAACGCGCACGGCCTCGGCGGTCGCTACAGCGAGGTGAGTATCGTGGGCCTCTCCTTGGCCCGTCCAGCTTCATCGGCGGCGGTTGACCTGCTCCCGCGTCCAAGGGCTGCCTCACAACCTCCTCAAACACAGCGGCGGCGAACCCGTCCCACCCGTGGCGTCCCCCACCCTCACGGACCGGGGCCTTTCCTTTTCCTGTTTCACGCCCCGACGCTCTTGATTTTCATCGCTGAGAAGCATAATGCGCCACGCGTGGGTCCCTGTTGGATATAGCCTGCCGTCCGTCCCCGGGACACCACCGTCACCTTCAGTCCTGTTGCTACTCTACACTCAGACTGACCACTCGCATTCGTGGCATCCCATCCTCCCAACATCACCTGC